GTGTGTGTGCGCGCGCGCGCTGTAGGGAGGTGTTCCTGTGGCTCTGATTGACGTCAGCAAGCCTGTATGTGGCTTCTGTTGACTTCCTGTCAAAGCAGATGGACTGAGTTTTCACTTCCTTCTTCAGAACCGCAGTTCATCAGGTGCTCTAAGTTAGTGTGTGTGTGTGTGTGTGTGTGTGTGTGTGTGTGTCATAACCGAGCTGCATAACGTGCATTGTGACCTTTCTTTGTATGGGTGTCGCAAAATTACTGGTGCGTATTACGTTCAAGTTCAGTCGTTTGAGAGTCACAAAGTTTAAGAATTACTGAGTGGAGTTGACAGTTTAATCCTCCAATTCATGGAAACATTTATTTACACTTGCGGCCCACATGCATGTCTCAACAGCACTACGCTGGGCCACCTTAACAGGTTGCACAACAAATTCAAGCATAACCAACCTTCTTTATATTGAATCATTAATCTGTTTACATATTTAGAACCACACGCAGATGCTCAGAGAAACAGTAAAAGTTATTTTAAAAAAAGAGGAGAGGTGTTTTAGTGAGGAGCAGAAGTCTGAATGAACTTGACACAACAGCGCCGCGGGCTTCTTCACATTTCCATTTGCTTTGTAATTTTTCATGTGAGATCATGCTTTTAAGCGAGCCTCACGAGCTGATGAATGACCTCGTTTTAGTTCCAAAGAGACCCATGAGGGGTATTTCCCAAAGTCTGACTTGACCCGTGCATTCTAAAGTCCTCCGCAGTCATGCCGCCAGCACTGCTGCAGATGCGCCGAGCTGCAATTGACCGAATACCTCACTGGAGTCTGCTTGTTACTGCAAAAGCTTGTCAGCAATGTCGATGGTTAGCCTTCTAATTACCAAACTACGTGACTTCATTTTGCTCATAGGTGTAAGAGTATGTCAGTAGTGTGGGAAACTTTCATGTTTTCAATCAAGCGATCATAAGATAAGTAAGGAAACCTTTAAAATGCATCAACGCACTTTAAAACTTTTAATCAAGTATTCCAGTGTCGTCACTTCGTGTAGTAAACTTGTTATAAGTCATCGCCTGCCCACCGCAGAATCACTTCTGAACTCAGTCCCACCTTTTTCTCATGACTCTCTTGGCCCCGTCCTCACTTCACACTACCTGTATTCACATATGCACATGCAACCGCATCTCTCTCTCCCACCATCACCATCTTTTCGCTCTTTTATTCATTGCCATTATTTTGAGGAGGTGTGGGGGGTTGATGGGGCAGGAAACGTGAGGCAGGAAGCGAAGATCAGATTGTTCCTGTTTTGCTGTCTCTAAACTCTTGTAACTTGACGGAAGCCAGGAGGAACTGTGTGTGTGTGTGTGTGTGTGTGTGTGTGTGTGTGTG